GCACTTCCCGTGCAGTGAAACCAGACCTGTAAAGCTTTCAGTTGTGTTGCTGTTCATGTAATGGAGTATAACTGCAGAAAATGAGCTGTTGTTGGTAGTTTGTAAGTGTGAAAATATTCAGATCTCTAAGCTTTTTTTCACATATGACTGGGTAATTCAGATTCACCTTTTTACCAAATCCTGATGCAAACAAGAACTGCTGAATATTACTATGTATTTGATTTAATTGCCTAAATGTTTTTGCAGCTTTGCTCTGCCTACCTTAAGCAGATTCGATGCAATTATAACTATTCTTGCTCTCCGAATGCGTTGCGTTTTAGAATATGCTGGCAGAGAGAGAGAGGGAGGATAGGAAGATATCTTAAAAAGGCCATAGAATTGGCCCCAATAAACAAGTTAGTGATAATGGGAAGGGAGCATGTAATTAGTGAAAAACTTGTATAAATTAAAGGTGCTCCAGGCAGTTTTAACTTGTGCAGCCAGCACATACTTCGCATATCACCGTGGGTTTTACTGACCTTGGCAGCATTACATGGGGTTATATTTTTTACATGGATGGTTGGTGCTGAACATTTTTTTTCTTTGTTTGTTTGGGTTTTTTTGTTAATGCTATAGGCACAAACTGGCTTTTCCTCAGCATCATGCAGATCAACACTCTCTCTTTCCATCTGTTGAGGCTATTGCAAACCGTACTCGTTAATGTTTACATTTCTCCAGCTGTGTCTTAGGAGAGAGTTGAGAATCTCATACTGCACCCGTATCTTAGGGCCATATAAATGTGCATATATCATTAATGACTCCAGTGAGCTAATGGTTCTTTTCCTCCTGGAAGCAGAATATTGCGATTAGTCATCTTTTTCTATGTATAAAGAGGTAGGATGCACACTCAGTGCAGTTAACAGTGCTGCACGCTAGCCTTGGATGTAAAGGTTTGGAGTACCACAAGTGCACCATCAGGTGCATCAATATGGATACACTGTACTTTCTGCTTCTCAGTTTCAAATAATCCATGCAGTAACTATGTGATGTCTCCACTTGAGGTTGTCATGTGGTGAAAAATGACGGAAGGATTCGGCACTGACAACTAGACTTGTGCAGTTCCCTCATGTAACTTTAAAGAAGGAAACTTTTTTTATTTTCCACCTCCTTGAAAATTCTTGAATTATGCCAACATATAAGCATTTTGAATTATTTTTTTTTCTGAGAATAGCATGGATTTTCTCTAAGCACAGCTCCCACTGAAGTCAAAGGGAGATCAGCTCCTAAGAAAGAACATGCTGGGTGAATAGGCTCATTGTGATACAGAGAAGCTCTTCTGGGAATAGTGAGATTCATGCAGCAGTCAAAATTGGGTCATTACACTGACTTTGAATTGCACATGGAGTTGTTTTTCTGAACTCTGTGGGCATAGGCACAGTGAATGAAGACAGCCTACATCCCATAAGGTCATACCCTTCTATGATTTTGTTGGCCAAATTCCCAGTAAGTTTACCAGAGCTACTCACAGCTACTTATAAGAGCTACTCGCACACAAAGATAGGATTATGAAAGAAAGGATGGAATTTATGGTGAGGGCACTGGACCAGGATAGCTGAGTACAATTCCTTAATTTGCCACCAACTTCCTGTGTGACCTTGGGCAAATCATTGAAGGTGACATTTTCAACCTTGCCTGATTAACTTAGGACATTTAAATCCTTGTGTAAGTGATTTAGACACCAAAGAGCCTCAAGCGTGTTGGAAACAAGAATGACTTAAGTTCTCTGGTGCCTCAGTTATTTTTGACAATGGAACAATTGCTTTTGTGTGAGGTAAGGTGGATTGTGGATTTAAGGTGGGTGGGCTTTATGTGAAAGCTCTTTTCAGAGTTTAGCTGTATAGTTTAATCCATTTCCTAAGTGGAGTGAGGAAGGTACATTTAATGGGAAATAAGAGTGTCCACGGGGAACTAGTGCAGAATAGCTATTCTGGGGCTATTGGAAGCAAGTTGTAAATATGCCCTTAGGTATTCTTGGCAAATATTACCCTAAGCATCCCTGTGCCTCCAATTCTCCAGCTGTATAGTGAAGGTAATATTGCTTCCTATCTGTCACTTTTTCTTTCTTAACATATTAAGATTGTAAACTTTTAGGGTGCAGGGATTGTCTCTTACTGTGTGAGCATACAGTGCCAAGAGCAAAGGGTCTCTCTTCTTTGTTAGGGCAGGTAGCCTTTAATATAACATGTCCAAAATTTACTATAATTTTAATCAATAAATGAGTAGGTATACTGGATATGGCTTTGGTTAACATAAATGGAGAAGTGTTTTAATATGTCAAGTGGATTGGTTTTTAGTTTAAGAAAAAATTTGGTTAAGGAATGTCAATAAATAATGTGGATATTGTAAATTAAACCTCCCGTTTAAAAATCAGATAGAATCAGCTTAGAAGCTGTTTATAAACGCACCATAGACTTCAAAGCTAGACTGCTACTGTTGCATTACAAAATAATTCTGACAATGTAAGGTAACAATAAAAACAATTTATGTTATTCTAGAGTTTGAATCCATGAAGTTCAATAACTGAATAAAAGAAATTACTAAACATTTCAACCATTTTAAACACCTAGTAAAAGGAACTATGCAATATGGGGAAATCAACATGTGTTTTAATGTATTGTAAAAGTAATTTTGGGACTGCCTTAAAACCATGACTTGTACTTAGAAATATTTAAATGAAAAAGTACATTACTGCCTTAGCTTTTCTGCCTTCAGTGAGTATTATCTTTAGGTAGTCAATAAACAGTTATTCTTTCTTTGTTGTTTAAATGGCCTCTTTCTCTTGTCAATATTAGCTCTTTTGGATAGGGCTGTACGATTCTTGTTATTTAAAAGGCGATATTAAAAACCAGTAAGGGTTTTAGAAACACAATGCAAATGGAAGTCACTGTGATTTTTGCCCCTAAATCCTTTGGATGTCTTTGAAAATATTTCTCTTTTTTGTAAACATACCCATAACCTAATTCAGTAGACCACGACAGTAATTCAAGGCCAAATTGAATTCTTCAGTCAAAAAAAGTATTAACATGATTATTGAAGAAGAGAACTGAAACGGGGAGAGGGAAGGTTGCTTTGATTTATTGGATTATTTATTTTCTTTCTTGAAATAAAAATATTGATGCCCCTTCTGTAATTGGGCAGACAGTATTTGATTCAGAGCCTATTGAAATCAATGCAGATCATTTCTTCTAACTCCCACAGTTTGGGTCAGGCCCATGACAACTTCTAAAATGTGACTGTGTCTGTCTGTCTCTCTCTCTCTTTCCTGGCCTTTCTTCTTCACTTAATTATTGATCCATATCTCACTGGCTTAATGACTAGAATGGTGTTACCTATCCCTTCTGAATGAAAACACTGATGGGGTGATGCATGCAAAGATCTGTCAAAACTGTCTGGTCAGCACGCAGGAAACAGAAACATCTAAGCTATTATATCCTTCTCTAAAAACAGTGGCAGCTACTATGTATGTAATGCTGGAGGTGCTGAAGCTTTTGGCAGGGTGTGTCTGGATGATGGGCAACAAGGGAAGGACTCTATTCAGCTCCTGGTTTTTCAGAAATCACGATAGCAGCAGGCTCCTTTTACGTTCTTTGTAGGCGCTGCCAGGTGAGGAAAGGAAAGGCCTGCATGGGGGATGAGTTTTGTAGATCATCTTCTTGAAATGGACTTAGTTCACATGTTATAATTCTATTTATCGTGAATTGTGCCTTCTTCTCTTTCCTGGGGGGCTTTCTTGCATCTTAGCCTCTCTTATTAAACTTCCTATGGCAAACATAATTTTGGCCTGAAGACATTGGCCCTGAAATCATAACCGCACAGCTGAAGCCCTGCATCTGTTTCTTTGTAGTTACCGCTGTCTAAGCAATTGAGGTGATCAGCATATTCTTCCTGTATTATCATTTGAACGTGGACTCTGTTGTGGTAGTTGTGGAACAAGCCTATGCTAAAGGACAGTGCTTTTCTTGGAGCGTTTGCAGTCTTCGAAACCAAATTACAAGCAGAAGAAGTCTACATATGGGTGAGAGGT